AGACACAATAACAGGTCAGAGATCTAGGCAGTCATTTTACATCTTGAGGGTTGGGAAGCTGGCTCAGTGGCTAAAAGTTTTCTGTGCAGGCATGAGCATGAAGACTCATGTGCACACCACCAGCACCCACATACAAGCCTGGCATGGCTAACGCATGCCTGTAACTCCAGCACTGAGTGACAGACCGGTGCATCCTGGGAACTCACTGGCCAGCCAGCTTAGCCTAATCTGCAAGGTTCAAGCATGTGTCTTAAGGAAGTAAGGCAGACAGTGATAAAGGACGACACCCAATGTCGTCCTCTGAGCATGCATGCACACCTGCATACACACACAGTCTTGACATCTGGTATTCACATAAATTTAAGTGAAATTTCAAAACTTAATCCTTTGTTTTGATTCCAATTTGCTCTGTCCAATTTATTACAAAATATATGTGTACAACTTTTTACTTTGGATCTAATGATTTTTTTAAAGAGAAAAAAACCCTACTTATGAGAAACAAAATGGGAATTTTGAACATAGCCCAAATTTAAAGGAACTTGTGCGAAGTGCGCATTATCCTCTACGTGGACGTCACCCCGAGTCTGGTAGTCACCACTCATACCTGATGCTATGACGGGGTCCTTCATAATCTCTCTAGTTATCGGACAGACAAACTCATCAGGAATTTCAGAAGAGAGGGAGTCCATCCTGGTCCTGAGCTCCTCGACACTCCTCAACACTTTGCTGCGTAGCCCTAGAGATTCTGAAAGAATATTTGTTACTTTAGGCAGCGAGTGAAAATCTGTAAAATGAAGTATTACTAGGAAGTGAAATCAACTTTCAGGGTGTAAAGACAGGTGACACACAAAGCCAGAAAAGAAATTTGTATTATTTTTGTTACTGAACACAATATCAAGCTGACCAAAGGGGGAAGGGTAGACTCTGGCTTTAGTCCATGGGTGAGCTGGCTCTACAGCGTTCTGGCCTGCTGAGAGGCCGCAGAGTGTAGTGGGAACACTCAGTGACGAAGCCGCCTGCCTCTGGTGTCTAGGAAGGGAGGGGGCTCCTGGTGCCCTCTTCAGGGGGTACCACAGTGACCTGACTTGATCCCACTAGGTCTCAGCTCCTAAAGTTCTCACTGTCATCTCCCTGCAGTAGCACAGGCTGGCACTCAAGCTTAACACGTGGATGTCGAGGCACACACATCCAAACCCTAGCAACCTGGAAAATGATTAAAAAGAAATGCCTTGTGGGCTTTTATTAGTTCCCAGAAAGAAAAGATCAAAAAGTAAAACCTCCAGAGGAAAAAAAAACCCAAAACCTTTTCATTCCTATTTATAAATGTATGATTAATTATTTCAATATATGAATACTGACCTACAGTAGTTTCTTTGCACTTGCTATTCTAAATTTCTACCAGTTTATCTCTTCCAAGTTCTAAGATCCACAGCACCGTGCAGTATCCCGAGGACCCGGATAAAAACTGAGGCCAGGGTGCACGCACAGCTCTAGTGACTGGACTCAGCTTTTCTAATTCCGTCCAAAACTGGCTTTCCTGCTCTTTATCATGAATACGTTATACTTAAAATTTTTATTTTAATTTATTTTTTTTGAAGACAAAAACAAGTTCTTTTATTATAATTATTTACATCACCCTGGAGTCAGGGCCCCTTGTAGTAGAAAACACCTGTGGATTGCGCCTCAGAGGAGCACCTGCCTGTCCTAAACCCAGGTTCTCTGTGAAGCCTGGAAATGCTAATGGCAAGAGTTCACAAATGCAGATTCACAAATGCAGATTCACAAATGCCTTAATACATCTCAACATCAAGGATGGATACTCCTTATGCAAATAGATGGCATAAGGAGTTATTCCTTAAGGGAAACTGTGACTCTGAACTCCTAGAGAGCTGGGAGACAGCAGATAAGGTGCGGCGTTTGAGAACACACCCACAGTGGCTCACTTTATAGTGCATGGCTACTTCCGTATGCTGAAAGCAAATTCAGATTTCACACTGGCCTTAGGAACTAAAACCAAACTACAATGGCAAGTGCAGGCAAAACATTGCTGCATGTAACAAGCAGACATCAGCATGTATGTCCTCAGTTTGCCTTTTCTATTTTCAATCTCGACTTTAATTCTACGTCAGCCAATTTATTGTTTTACAGAAAGGGTGTTTTTCTTAAAATCCAAGAGTAAAGGAAATTCTTTGTCGCTTAAAACAGTATTTGAAGATTAAAAGTTAACTTCTATAATGAAGATAAATAAAACAGCATTTCAACATACTTCAGAATGGCCTGGTATATAGCCATGAATGCCTATAATCTTAGCCTTTGAGAGGCAGGAGGATCACGGGTCATAGCCACACAGTAGATGATGACATAATACCAAAATACCAGATATTTCAGAATGATGTGAAGAACCAGATGTTCCAGAGAACACATATCCTAAATCTGCTTCTAAATTATTGAATTTGGCAATTTTCCAAACTGTAAAGCAGAATATTCATTTGTTGAAACCTATCGCCACTGGTTCCCTGCCTTAGGCCAAGAACAAGTATGACACATGGTTACAGATGACGCAGTGCTGTTAGAGGCCAGCCTTTAGACAAACAGGACCAGAACCCTTACAGAAGAGACCCCAGAGAGCGAACTCGCCCATCCCACTAAGTGAAGGTACAGGAAGAGAGGCGCTGTCTGTGAACCACACGTTACTCCTGACTAGACACTGCACCTGCCAGTCCCTGGATCTTGGACTTGGCCGAATGAAGAAATCAATTTGATATTTATTAGCTTACCTAGTTAACAGGATGTTGCCATAGCAACCTAAATGCATTAAGGCGACAACCTAAGTCATCAAGGAAATGCAAATCGAAGCCTCAGGAGAAACCACAACTACTGGGTGGTGCTAACAACAAAATCAAACAAGTGTTAGAGACACTAGGAGAAGCTGGAGCCTCCCCCATGCTGGGGGCTGGGAGAGGGTACAGAGAACCGCCCCCCCATACTGGTAGGACTCAGGAAAACAACCTGACAACTCCTCCAGTGTCAAACAGAGGATTCCCCTGTGACCCACCAATTCTACTTTGAATAGATGCACAAGAAAACTGAAAAGATGCTCACACAAAAACTTGTATATTAGCCAGACAGTGGTGGCTCACGCCTTTAATCCCAGCACTCGTGAGGCAGAGGCAGGTGGATCTCTGTGAGTTCTAGGCCAGCCTGGTCTACAGAGGGAGATCCAGGACCAGGCACTAAAACTACACGGAGGAACCCTGTCTCCAAAAACCACACAAAAAACTTTGAGGTGTCTGAACTACAATCAATTTTTAAAATATGAAACTTCCTAAATGATAACTACAAGCTAGGTTTAGTGACTTGAAGAACTACTTTCTTCTTCCTAAGGAGGCAGATGGCTCTCTACAAAGACGTCTCTACCTGGACTGCTGCTGTGCAAGGAGAGAGGAGGGACCCATGGGAGCCGGTAACCCGACAGCAGGGGAAGTCAGCACGGATCTGAGGACTGCCCGTTCCTCACTGCTCTTACCAATTTTCAAATCGCCAGCCAGACTTTCCTTTGTGAGATGCAACAGTTCTTTTCCGTCAATGTTGTTCATCTGGAAAACGCCGACGAGCTCTTCCAAGCCTTGAGCACGGAGCCATGTTGAGACGTCCTCCTCCGACCAGTCTTCAATCAGTGGCTTCTGCTGATCGCCCGTGCTTCCTGCTTTAAAGCACAGGCCAAGTGAACGGCAGAGCCAATGCTTCTCCTCTCCACATTCCCGCCTTGAGTCTGGCTGACTGTTCGTTCAGCTCCCTTTTAAGAACTCGTGGACAGTACTAACAGTAGCGACCTAATGCTACAGGAAATGCTAGCCTTTCGCGATTTCCTTTTCTCTGCAGAGAGACGGTTTTGCTTTTGTGGCGCTCGGGATCAAACCTTGTGCCTTGTGCATGCTGGCCACACACTCTAGCGCTGACCTACACTTCTGGCCACTTTTTCTTCACTCCACCCATGAAGGGACACTCTGCTTGCTCTGTCACCCGCATACCAGCACTGCTGTGTAGTTATTTCTGACAGCGATAAAGGTGTAACTCCCAAGTTGTACACCTGTGTTGCTTGGAGAGGCCAAAAGGAGAGCCAACGAGATAAAGCTGGGATTCCGATCCTGTCCTCAGGCTACGTTCACAGGGAAACCTGGCACCTAACACAAACAATGGAAAACCCCCGGGGCCCTGATATACGTGAAGGTGCACACAAGCCTTTGCCAATACTTCACTGTAGACACCTCTGACGCTAGAGTCTCTAAAATGAGTCTTAAGGTGTATTAAATTTGTGTCTGTGCAGTATAATATGAATAGCATGTCAAAGGATTTACTAAAGTTTAAGCTTGGGGGTGTAGCTCTGAGGTAGAGCACTTGCATGCACAAGGCCTCAGGGTCAATCCCCAGGACCACAAAAAAGAAGTACCCAAATTTTCTGATCAGGGTTGAGATGGTTAAGGATGCCCAGCGCTTGGGCTGTAGCTGTGCCTTGCAGAGAGCACTTGCCCAGCAGGTCCTGAGGCCCTGGGTTTGCGGGCAGCACAGGACAGGGATGGGGTCATCTTACCAACCTTGGCAAGGTGTTTCCAGGTCCAACTCCCAAATGTTCAGAGTCTTGTCCATGGAGCCAGTAGCAAGCAACAGGGTGTTGGGTGCAAAGGCACAAGTTGTGACATACCTAGTTAATAAACACAGCGTTATATATTTATGTCTGGCTAATATTTTCATTATGTTAGAACTGTGAAAGTAACTCAGACCTGGTATGCTGCGTCAATGTGTACAGCACACTCTGGGTGCCCTGAAACAGAACAGAATAACTTCGTCAGTCAGGCAAGAGACAAGGTCGGGATGAAGGTCACTGACAGGGTCTGTGTGCTGAACGCATCATCAGTAACTAACTTGCTGAGGCTGACAATGAGCGAGAGCTGACATCCATAACTAAACATGAGAGCTTGTTCTGCTTTCTCAGGCATCAGCATGGCTGCTGACGACCTCCTTCGGAAGTTTTCCTCCAGTGACCCCTGACATCTGTCAGTTTGACCAAGACTGTTAACAGAAACCCAACTGCATAATAAACGAAGTCTTGCTGTGGCATCTGATTTGTACTTATTGCAGGATGGGTGAACGGAAGCTGCTGAAACCCTGAGTACACTTGGGGGCCAGTCAATGGGCAGGTATTGTCCTAACTAGGGTTCCTATGGATGTGATAAAACACCATTTCCAAAAGCAACCTGGGGAGGGAACGGTTTATTTCACTTACACTTCCAAATCACAGCCTATCACTGATCGAAGTCAGGGCAGGAACTGTCGGCAGGAACTGAGACAGAGAAGGCATGGAGGACTGCTACTGACTGGCCAGTTCTCCATGGCTTGCTCTGTCTGCTTCCTTACGACCTAGCACCATGGCCTCAGGAATGATCCTTTCACATCCAGCATTAAGAAAAACTGCCCAGGAGCTGGAGACATGGCTCAGCAATTAAGAGCACTAGCTGCTCTTCCAGAGATCCAGAGTTCAATTCCCAGCACCCACATGGTGGCTCACAACCATCTGTAATGGTACCTGATGCCCTCTTCTGGCATGCAAACAGAGCACTCATATACAAAAAATAAATAAATCTTTAAAAAAAAAAAAAAAAGGAAAAAAAGGGCCTGACAGAATTGCCTACAGGCCATATGCTGGAGGTACTTTCCCAGTTGAGGTTGCTCTTCCCAGGTTAACTAGTCAGGACAAGTGTATTTAGCGGGAACCAGTGCATGTTTTATAGACAAAAATCAATGTTATACCCATTTGTGAATATAGACATCCCATAACAAGACGGTAGGAAACAACACAGCTTTTTCATCTGGCTTGAGTGTTTGAGGGTTTGTTCCCACTTTCTGCCAGAACCTCCAATGACTTTAACTCCTGTGTGGGTGACCAGTCACTTGTTGGACACCACTCCCGAATGACTTACGCCTCCGCTGAAGCCATAGCTGATGCATGCAGCAAATACCACACAACACCAGTTTTCTCTTAAAGATCATTCCCATCAACTATATCTTTGTGAAATATAATGTTTATACTTGTTTATACTCATGCAATTCAGCATTTACTCATAAATCTGCCCCAAACTCCTATTTTTCTAAGTCTATGATACCTTAGACTTGTCTTATGCTGGTCCCTAAATCCACCCTGTCCTCTAAGAACTCTAGGTAGGTAGGCCACATCCATGCTGCTATGGAAACAGGCTCTGATGAATTTTTGAATACTGCTGCTCTCTAACTCTGTGTTTTCTAAGATTAGATTTAAAACTCCATCCATCATAAAGACATTATTGAAATATTTAAGGTTTTCCCAAGTATCTTACTATTTCACCATTGTGAGAACGAACATTATATTCTTGGGTACAATAAATAGATATATTAAAAAATAAACCTATTTTATGCAACTAAATTTGAAGCTCAATTATCTCAAACAATTTATATAGTTTACACACAAGATCTGAAGTACTTACGATATCATATATGATGACAGACTTATCCACTGACCTTTAAAAAAAAAAAACAAACACTAGGTAGGTGAAAAGTTCTATAAAAACCAAACACACCCTCTTGGAAAAGGCTGGAAGATTGACACAGCTAGAATGGAGTGGACATCTGGGGGACTCTTCTTGTAGGAAAAAGAATTGTAATACAAAGAAACTACGGCACTGTAACAAAGCACAGGGTTTTTACAATAGGTTAAAACATGCTGTTTTTTCTTCTTTTCCACCCTTGGAAGAGTCTTTCTGCTACCATGGTACACATTGCAAGGTCACCCAGACCAGTGCTAACACTGCCTGTGGGACACTAACATCTGTGTTCATCATCATGAAAACGGAATGGGCTAGTCAAAGGAGTCCCTTAACCTGTTAGCTTAAGGTTCCTGTTCAGTAGGCAACTGAATACCAACAATGGGTAGTGACCTCAGAATCCCTGTCACAGATTCAGAATAAGAATTATGCTAGACATAATATATAAATGCTCTTATTTAGTCCTGAATTCAGTAAAGTACAGGTTATCATTTCTGAAATGTCTAAAATTCTTATGGAAATTTCCATATATATTTTTTAAGCATCTCTTAAAAAAAAAACGCTAAGGAGTGACATCAGCAACATGGTGGGTGGAACTTCCCAGTTTCATAGCAACATCAATGTGGACAACTACCCAAGAAAAAAACATTCCCTGCACAGGAGCTTTGGAACTCAGGTATGCTGCTTACAGCAGCATGAACGGATGTCAGCACCATAGTAAAACATTAAAGATGTCAGGAAAGACAAATGAAAGATCCATCAACCGACACACACACACACACACACACACACACACACACACACACACACACACACACACAGGGGAAAACTTCTAAAGGGTTGAGAGCCGGTATCCCGTGCAGTTGCTCAGAGCCCATTCATGGCAGGTTTATATTGAAAACAATCCTCCCGCCCGGTCCTCAGGACACTCTGTCTCACATCTACAGTCTCTGGATGTCAGGCTGACAACCAGCTGAAAAGCAAATTCCACTCTCAGAAGCCACCATCGGATGCAATGTCACTTGGGAAGAAGAGTCACTGTTGGTGACTTCTGTGAGCACTGGATCGGGACAACTGTGGGTGAAGGTGTTAATGAGAAGAAAGGGAAGACAGGGACGAGTTTTAGGAAATGTCCTAAGTCACCCTCTGCCAGTCATTACGGAGTAACCGGGTTGGCCGATTTCTAGCAATAAGACCCCAGCATCTATACACAGAACAAAACAGGAACCAGTGCCCGGGCAGGGAGAAAAGGAACTTGTCTTTGGGAAGAAGACTTGGCCTCCCGGCTCTCTTCCCTACCAGGCAGACAGAGATAAGAGACGACTAGAGTTTGGAGAAAGGCCATGTGCCACGTGGCTCAGCTCCTGGTGCATTTTCTAGTTTTCTGACCTGCTTAATTATGGAAGTGTGGGAGCCATGCTGCCCAAAAGGTAAAGAACAAGTTAGGATATGGCATCTGTTTTTGTTTTTTTTTTTCTTTCTCATTATTTTCAACATGAGAAAATAAGCATCTTTTTTTTTTCAATTCAAAACTCTTTACATATTTGTGAATAATAAATATTCAAAACTGGCTCCATGGAGTCCTAGCTACTCAAATACCACAGAGAAGAGCAGTCTCTATCTGAATGATAAAGGTGGAGTTTGTGCTCAGGCGAAACTGTTACATATAACACTCCTTACATCTGGCTAGATCAAGAGAACAGGGTGGAACAAAATACAAGTTCTGCAGAGGGGCTGAAGGGAAGTCACCACAGGGGAGACCAGAAGGATGAAGGGACAAACTTCTCCATGCTTTTCTAGATGTCATGTGCTAGCATCACAGCCCTGAGGCAATGAGGTATGCGAAGCAGGCAAGAACACCCAAGTGCCTCTGGAAGCCAGGCACTGGGAAGGTCTTGACTCTTGCTATTGTCTGCTTTGAAATTTCCTTTGAAAGTATGCAAATATGTGATAAGTTTATTATAACCACCCCCTCAGTATCTGAGGTGGGGAGGGGTGATTCCAAGCCACCTCTAGGTTTCATACATAACAAAATCTTCACATGATCAAGTCCCTTATCTAGTCCTGGAACTTACTCTGTAGACCAGGCTAGTCTTGAACTCACAAAGATCCATCTGTCTCTACCTCCGGAATGCTGGGATTAAAGGTGTGTGCTACCACCACCTAGCCAGAAATGTATTATTTTTATGTCATTAAAGTGAATCTGACTCTAAGACCCATCCTACTTGGCTGGTAAGAGAGCCAACTACCATTTCTGCAATGCCCAGCACTTTCCCAGGGCCACAGACGCTCAAACTTCTAGCATAACGTGAGCTCCCTCAAAATCAGGACTTATTAATCTTATTTATTTGAGACAGGATCTCATACTGTACAGTGGGTGGGCCTTAAAACTCCAGGCAATCTGCCTGCTGCTGTCTCTCAAATGCCGGGTTTGTAGGTGTGAACCATGATGCCCAGATAAGACGGCTGTTGTCTTCCTCAGTTTCCCACAGGAGCTAGACTAAGAAGGATGGTACTCAAGCCCCTGTTTCCCACCCCTGGAAGGTGTAACAAGAAGCCAGCTTTTGAAACTTCTCTGCCAGCTTAAGCTGGCACTTCGACCCCAGCTAACTATCTGTACATTTTCTACCTTTCATTCCATCCTTTCCACAAATTGTCAGGCTGCTGTGGGGGAGGCAGAGACAGAGTTCTCTCCCCAGTTTTTGGCCCAAACTGTAAATAAATCCACTTTTCCATTTAACGTATTTCAACTTAGAGGAAGAAGGGTTTACTGGGTTAGATTACTGCTGCCTGCAGAGAAGCGTGTGAGGAGGTGGAGGCTTCTCTTCATCCCTTAGTGGACAGAAAGCTGAGAGAATGGGCTATAGGAAGAGGCCAGGGACAGGTATGACCCTAGGGAGAGCATGACCCCCAAGAACTTATCGCCCTCCTGTGACCTGCTTCTTCTACCTAGGCTCCACCTCTCCTTTTCCCCACCTCCCAGAAATACTGTCATAGTGTAAGTCCGCCATGAATAACCCAGTGGCCGGAGCCCCTGGGTTCTGCCTCTGAGGACCAGGCACCATCCCGACACTCGGAGATGTGGGTTCCTGACCCTGGGGGGCCTGCCTCTGCTTCCCGGCCTGCTACTGCTCTAGCTTGTTCTTTTTATTTAAAGACACCGAATCTCCTAAAACTTTTATTATATGTACATGAACCACATGTGGGCCCCCAAATATTTGGACTCGGCCACAACTCTTGGGACAGGAAAGAAAACAGATGAATGCAGTAATCTGATTTCAGGATTATGAAAACTGAAGAAGAGATATGGACTCCTGTAAAGTTATGGAGTGGGAGATTAAGTATAGAACACAGAGAATCATTTGCTATTTCATTTCAAAACAAGTATTATAAACAAAGGCAAATGGATGAATTTTCTCAGAGGACTTTTCTGGCCATAGTGCACACTAAAATTCAAGAATATTTAGGCAATAAAGCAAAGCTTCTCCCACTCTAAAAACACCAACTTGAAAAACTAATGGTGTATAACTCAGTGGCTGAGCGCTTGTCTACCATGGGCAAGGTTCTGAGTGGATCCCTAGCACTGCCAAGAGAAGACAAAGTCAATGTCAAGTGGGGCCCGAGAGATGGCACACTGTTCCTGCAGAGGACCTGAGTTCAGCACCCAGAACCCACACAAGGTAGCTCACAATTAGCAGGGGTTTCTGATACCTCTGGCCTCCTTGGGTACCTGCACTCACATGCACATACCCTCATACATTCACACGCACATACCCTCATACACTCACACACACATACCCTCATACACTTACATACCCTCATACACTCACACGCACATACCCTCATACACTCACATGCACATACCCTCATACACTCACACACACATACCCTCATACACGCACATACCCTCATACACTCACATGCACATACCCTCATACAGTCACACTCATACACAGAACTATAAATAACAAATCTTAAAGTTAACGTGAGGAGTGTAGAGCCTGTCTTATTGAAGTGTCTAGGAACTTTTTAAAATCTAAACAACAAAGGAATCATATCTTTTGTTTTTGTTTGAAAATAGGCTGGTTGTCAAACTATAATATAAATTTTATGAAAAAATATTATTATAAAGTAATTGAATCAAGCATGTGCGTTCAAATCAACCTTCCTAAGATCAAGCTTTGAAAAGAAATGCTCCAATTGAGAACAGGAAATCACAAAACTGGTCAAAAGAGCCTTAAACAGCCAATTAGAAACTGCAGAGCCACAGTTTAAGCAAAATTAAAAGTCAGAAGACTATTAACTGTAGCAGAGTAGGGAGCTGGAGGGTGGCTCAGCAGTTCACAGCACTGGCTGTTCTTCCACAGGACCTGAGTTCGATTCCCAGCACCCACATGGTAGATCACAACCATCCCTAACTCCAGCCCCAGCACATTTGACATGTGCACTTGGTACACTTACATACATGTGGGCAAAATATTCATACACATAAAAACATACATAAACAAACATTAAAATAAAGTTAACAAAACTAAAATAAATTTTAAGTAGCACAGTAGCTGAAAAGAGCATCAGTAAAGGGGAAATCAAGAGCGAAGTATAAAAAGACGAACTGGCTGGAGAGACAGCTCAGCAGTGAAGACACTGGCTGTTCCTGCAGAGGACCTGGGTTTGATTCCCAGCACCTACAGGGTGACTCACAACCAGCTGTAGCTCCGGTCCCAGGGGATCTGATGCCCTCTTCTGGCTTCTTTGGGCACCAGGCATACACATGGTACACAGACACATAGGCAAAACACTCATACACATAAAAATACATAAAAAATGTAGAAGACATAAACAATAAAAATACGAAAGGCTAAAAGAGAGAACGTTTATAGTCGGAAGGTACAATTTGCACTTAACTGGCACCTTAGAAGAGAGACAAAAAGGGACAAGGGCAATAACAGAAGAGATAAGCATTTTCAGAAATTGATGGAACGTTCTTCTACAGATTTAAGAAGCTCAAAGGATTCCTGGCATTGCTGGCCACTGTGGTTCGTACTATGCAATCTCAGTATTCAGGAGGTACAGGTAGGAGATCATCAAGAGTTCAAGGCCAGCCTGGTCTACACAACAAGTTTCAGCCAACCAGTGCTACACATGAGACCCTGTCTCAAAAAGAATTCCTGGCCCAGCAGGATGGCTCAATGGGTCAAGGTGCCTGTTGCCAAGCCTGAGGATGTTGTGGAATATTTAAGTACTCTGTGTGAAAGGCACCTTCTGATTGGTTTAATACGAAGCCGAATGGCCAAGTGCTAGACAGGAGAAGATAGGCGGGACTTGAACTCTGGGAAAAAAAGAGGTGGATATCTCCAGCAAGATGCAGAGAGAGTCAGATGTACAGCATGGAGGAGAGGTAACGAGCCACGTGGCAGAACACAGATTAACGTAAACAGACTTAATTTAAGTTTTAAGAGCTAGTTGGGAATAAGCCTAAGCTAAGGCCAAGCTTTCATACTTAATACTAAGTCCCTGTGTCATTATTTGGGAGCTGGCAATCCAAAGAAAGTCCAACAACATGAGGACTGAGTTAAATCCCTGGTACCCACGTGGTAAAGGGAGAGAACCCATTCCTGCAGCCATCCTCTAATTTTCACACAGAGCACACACCCCACCCTCACCCCCCAAATTTGTTTTTATATCCTAGCAAGCTAAAAATTAGCCCAAATGTAGTTATACCAAAGTGAATGTACCACATACTGAAAGTTTTATGAACATCTAGAAGAAAAAAATATGAATCACATTCAAAATGGTGAGGTTGAAAAGTAACTTTCTCTACAGCAATACACCATATAAATACGCCCAACCTGTCTGCTGCATCAAAGCAAGGTTTAAGTTGGAAGTGAGTGTAATTCACCTGCGATCATCTTGAGGTGCAGGGGGGAAAATATCTTTTACTGAAATAGATCACAACGAAGTTCTCACCTCATTGCGTTGAGGAAATACAAACGAACCATGGTGCTAAGGCGGCACCATTCCACTCAATGGTTAAAATTTAGAAGACCCAAAATATGAAGCATAGGAAAGGAGGAAAGAACACTGGACTGGTGGGATGGCTCAGCAGGTAAAGATGGTTGCCACCAAGCCTGATGACCTGAGGTCAAGCCCTGGAACCCATACCATGGAAGCTGTGCTCTGAGCTGCGCACACATGCTGTGGCACGTGCCTGCTCACACAATGAATAGCTGAATGGAAGCAAAACAACGACAGAGGGCTGCTTCAGGAGCATCAATGGTTCCGTCACAGATCGCTTACCCCGACACAAGCATCTGTCCATCGTAGGAAAAAGCACAAGCCAGAACAGGGGCACAGTGCCCACGTAGTGTACTTTTATATTTTAATTCAAAGCCTGTAATTCACAAGGTGAGAAAATTAGTAAGTTGATTATGCGTACAATTTCATTTCTCTACTTAATAATGTGAGTAACAAAAAGACAAGGTCATAAAAATCTTCATGCAGCTTAGGTATCCACACAGATAGCAGATAATTATACCATAGGTTTGAGATGGTTTCAATATCCAGTAACATCTGGAGATGTAGTCCTGAGTCTAATCTCTAGCTTACACACATACACATGCCACACACACACACACACACACACACACACACACACACACACATACACACAACACACACATATACACAACACACACATATACACACACCACACATACATATACTTAAACACATACATCACACACATACACCACACACACATATACACACATATCACACACACACACCACACATATACACACCACACACATACATACATGCATACACCACACACACACACACACACACATACACACCACACACATACATGCTTCAGTAATAGATTTTTTTTCTTATAATCCATTAAATCCAATTAGTGCTGCCAATGACAGATTTTGTTTTAAAATGATGCAAAGACTAGGCTAGTGCAATTTTATAATCACTAAAATTTTTAAACATGTGAACTATACATAAATTTAGTGCCTGGTAAGATTAAAAAACAAAAACTGCCTAAAAGCCTAAAAAAAAAAAATCAGTGCTTATATTTTGTGAAGTCTGACATTATCAACACATTTTGTCTTTCTGTACATAAATCAATGGTATTTATAATTCTGTAAATCTACAACATCTCCAGTCATAGCCAGGCATGGTGGTGCATGCCTTTAATCCCAGCACTCAGGAGGCAGAGGCAGGCGGATCTCTGTAAGTTTAGGGCCAGCCTGGTCTACAGAGTGAGTTCCAGGACAGCCAGAGCTACACAGAGAAACCCTGTTTTGAAATAAAGGGGGGGGGGGAATACAACCATAAAATCTTTAGAATTACAGAAAATAAACACAACTCTCTTAAAAGTTAGCAGACGGAATTCAGTGCGTTCTGATGCCAACATGTAAAAACAAGCGTAAGAGGTTATGGAGTGGTGAGATCTAAGATCTCTGAGGAGGTGTCAGACTTCAAACGTTTAACTAGGCAAGAGGCCCACGCTCAAAGCGGGACAGACACGTTGACCTGGGAGAGCAGAGAAGAGTGTTAAGACAGCCACAGATCCCAGAACCTGGCGTGAACTTGGAAGGCTTTCATCCCAACAGTCAAACACAAGTCAGCCGCACATCCCAGGTGACTGCGGAACTCGCCCGTGAGAACGGCTCCTGTGAGTCCAGGACCTAGGCCTGCTTATGCCCCACAAGACCATGAAGCTGAGTAAGGTGCCTACGGTGACAGATGCTGTCTAAAGAGGCTTTCCCTGCACACCCAAGAGGCCCCCCATGTTTCTGAAAGAGTGGTGTAAAGATAGTTTTCAACGTATCACAGGTTTTCCTTTTGAACAATTTCAAGGTAACTGTATTCAGGATGCCCACACATGTGACTGTATTTGTATTTCTTACCAGAATTTTACCTGAGTAAAGAAAGAGATAAGGATCTTGGATAGACTTGAGAAGGAAGAAGTCCCACCTCCCCATCATGTTTTAGATGAAAAGGATATTACATGTAAACTAAAATGAACAGTCTCTTAGTTCCTCATAAGGCTCTTCCTACACTCTAGAACAATTCATGGCAAAACCGAGGTTTGTATTCTAGCTGAAGCTTATTAGGTAACAAATGACAAACCATTTTGAGGCATGTGGATCAAAAAGCTCTTTGACCACAAAGCTTCAAAATCCTTAAATGATAATTGATGAATTCATCAAGATATGAATGCAAACAGAAGTGCCTGGGAAGGAGGCATCCACAGAGAAGCTGGAACCAATTGTGGAAGGTCAGAAAACAGGCTGACTGACGGGCGAACAGCCCAGTGCAGGGGGCTAAACCTGAAGAGGACGCATTCAGTCCCAGGAAAGCCTTTCAGATAGGACGGGCCATCAACAGCCAGGGAAACAAGGTCAGAAACAGAACGATTACCCCAGAGTCTGAACAGGAAACACTCACTGTCTACCTCAATTCCCCCCGGCCCCCACCCCACAGTAGGCTGCACCAGGCAGGCGATTTTCCCCAGGAGCAACCTATATAAGGAAAATGGTAGTTGATGACAAGACATCCATCTGGCCTCAGTTCCTTCCTGAGAAGGCAAACACACCTCTTCATGCTACAGGCCTTGCGGGCAGCGAGCTCCTGAGATCCCAGCTGTCAACTCTCTAGATGTAAACGGTGTCACTGGACATCTGAAGGAAACGATGTGGAGAAGACAGATGTAGGCAGGCACAGATGGAGCCCAGGGGTTATGAGAACAAAAGGAATTTGGAAAATTCTTCCTTGTCTCATTCATTAAAACAACAACAAGCTAGAGAGGTCCACAGAAATCCACAAAGATACCCCCACAATAGACTTACTAGCAATGGTCCAGAGACAGCCAGAACTGACCTACTCTGGTGATAGGATGGCCAAACACTCTGTCATGCTAGAAACCCCATCCAAAAAAGAAAACAACAACAACAAAAACCAACTATAAAAAAAAAAACAAAGGCCAGTAAGATAGCTCAGGGGTAAAAAGGTGCTTGTCACAGAAGTCTGATGAGCTGAGTTCAGTTCCCAGAACCGACGTGAAGGTGGCAGAAACCATCTCCAGTTTTCCACTGGCCTCCACACGCATACCATTCGTGCCCCACCCCCATAACGAGAAATAACTCTTAACAAGTATTTATTTTATTTTTAATTATATATACCTAAGCGTGTGTGGATATGAGCGTGTGAGTACGGGTACCCACAGGGTACCTGTCAGCCATCCTACACGGGTGTTAGAAACCGAACTCAGGTCCTCCTCAAGAGCAGAAAGCACACTGCACCACTGAGCAATCTCTCCAGCCCCAATAAATAACCTTAGAAAAAAATGAAATGACTTAAAGATGAACTTTTAGAAACTGATGAGATCGATTCAAAAACCTGAAAGTGAATGATTTCCTCAAAAAGTAAGAAAAATGCAGATTCAATAGACTGAGAGATGAGTGTGTATGTGGCTGGCAGAATCCATTCAAGGCGTCCAACAGCCAAGTGACGAAGTTCAGAAAGAGAGCACAGGGGAGGATCATTAGAGAGACACTATGAAGGAATACCGTAGCCCAAAGCAGACAACCACACATGTCCTGACTGAAGGACCACCCGAGAAAATGAGACCGAGCATGAGGAAGACTCACTCATCAATAAACAGCAGCCATGATAAATAAACGCAAAGATGATGTATGCAACATTTAGCAAGAATATGAAAACCACTGAAAGCGTCAAAGCTAAGTCAAGGACAGGGTGGAAGGGGCAGGGTGTGGTCAGAGCCAGCTGTGGACAACAGACTTTTACATCCAATCAAAGTTTCTCTTTGCTTCTGAGGTTGGTCTGTCATAGCCCAGGCTGGCCTTGTCCATGTTACACAGCTGAAGCTGGTATTGAAGGTACTCATCCTCCTGCCTCCGTCTCCTGATGGGGTGGTTTTTTGTTTTTCAAGACAGGGTTTCTCTGTGTAGTTTTGGTGCCTGTCCTGGAACTCCCTCTGTAGACCAGGCTGGCCTTGAACTCACAGAGATCTACCTGGCTCTGCCTCCTGAGTGCTGGGATTAAAGGCATATTTTTACTATTATTTAAAATATCCAGAGTATCTTTTTTTTTTTTTTTTTTTT